ATACGTTTATGTAATAGTTTATATGTTCCGTTTAATATTATTCAAAAAAAATATTTTGTTGCAAAATACAAAAAATTATAATATTTTAGATTTTTTTTAATGCATACTACATTTCCATTAAATAAAGCATTGTTTTTATAATTAATTACTTTAACGTTAAAAAATGTAAAACTTGTGCCAAAATTTTTTGCAATAGTAATATGAAATTAGTTATTTAAATTATTTAAAAAAGCATCCAATGCGCACACAATGTTAACAAAATTTTTAATTAACATATTTAAATGAATGAAAAATGATTCAAATTATTATTAAATGTTATTTTATAAATAGAGAATAATTAGATATTAAAATATTACTTACTTTTTTCAAAAAAGATTGAAGTTTTCTTAAAGCAAAGTTTCATAAATAAGGATTCTCAATCTATGTGTAGAAATACTTGCTGAACCACCGATAGATGGCAGCGTTTATTGTAAATTAAATTGTAACCCATGGGTGCAAGTTGGAAAAAAGGCCAAGACTGAAAATTTTTTGACTGAAATACCTAACATACACAATACCCCCTCGACATATGCAAACTATCTAAGAAAGCTTTACCATAATACATCAAGTTTAAATTCTGTACAAAAAATATTTATTCATCTTTCTTTTGATAAAATAACAACAGGACATAAGAAAGTAGACCAATAACGTAGACCTAAAAAATATTTTTAAGGACAGAATAAAAAAAATTCCGATTTCCATCTTCGAGTCAGTCTTGTTTCCGTCTTACTTCCGTCCGCGGACATTTTCGAAAGACGGAAATCCGTCCTGGGGACGGAAGACTTACACCCATGTTGTAACCGCAACTGTAAAAAGATATTGTTAAAAAAAGAGATATCTACGCCTTTTGAATGTAGTTGTAGTTGTAGCTGTAGTAGCCTTTTGTCCTGTATGTCACATGTTATAATATATTTTTGCTGTTACTTACCCTTTTGTGGTTATTGAGTAGTTTTCCTGTTTCTCAAGAAAACGAGAAAAATGATAAATTCACTAATAGTTTAGATAAATCTTCGGTGTATTTCATAACCCATTAGAATTAATTAAACTCGAAAAGAGAAACTATGCATATTAGTATAGGTCTCCGCGAATAAAAAAAAGAAACGTTTTTTTCTTTTCTTCTTTATGGTTACTTTTTGGAGGAGTAGCAAACCCCCCCCCCCAAAAGAAAAATATCCTCTCTGTGTCAATAAGACATCAAAGATACAGTTCATTTGTTATTTAGACAAAACTATTTTCTAAGAGGAAAAAAAGCATTCCATCCCATGCGGTGATAACAGTATTCCATAGATATAAATTCCCTATATTAGTTATTCCCTATATTCCCGGCACGAGCGGTGGCCTACCGGGACGGCCGGGTCGTCGTTTTAACAGAGTATCACTTTTTCGATTTTGTATATAATGTAAATAAGTTATCTATTATTTCCTATTAATGTCATATATATTCATTATGCTGTACAAAATTTTTTAATGTAAATAATCATATCCTATTAATGCTAACTATATATATCAATATGCTGTACATATTTTTAGACTAATGGGACCTTCCCAGCTCAAAACCCATGCTCAGCCCTTAAAAATTCAATTATCAGATATGACTGTAAGTTCTTACAGAGGCTGCATTGCCACCACTCTAACCACATCACAACCCATGCCAATAGTCACAACTTCTACCTAATGATCAGATGAAGAAGTGAGATGCCCGCTCCGCGGGCAGGTACTTCGCTCCAATTCCTATCAAGTCAAGTCAGTCCCTGCAGTATTCATATGGGCATTTGTTCATTCCAACCCCCCTTGAGACGATAACCACTGGTATTCAAAACTTCTGCTATTCATGTCATCCTTTATCACAGGCAATTTTCAGAATATGAATATTCTGGACACACAATTCTGGAGAACACAGTCCACTCACAATGATAGTTGCAGTCAAAAAAAAGATCAAAAGAGCCGTCTTTTCCCTTTCAGGAATGACAATTTTAAAAGGTCAAGGTATTTAAACACGAAGTTAGCTGTGAATGCATATATATTGTACATTAATTTTATAAATTAAAAAAACATAAGCATTTTTTTTTTTAAATAAATTTTTTTTTTTAGTAAGCTTACCGAGTTTTAGAAAAAGTAACGATTTTATTCGACATTTCCGTTACAAATACTTGTACTTTTTCCCTAAAAAAAGTAACGAAAGTACAAGTAAAAGTATTAAATTTAAAAAGCAACGAAGTACAAGTAAAAGTACGTACTTTTTACTTGTTCCAGCGGTACAAGTAACGAAAGTAAAAGTACTGCCATATATGGTAAGAATACAAAAGAAATAGGAATCACAAAAGAAGAAAAATGCTAAAAATCAAATTTTTGACAGAAAAATTGTGACACAGGTTATTGCAGGGGGCAATGAAATTTCTACTCCCTTTGTATGTATCCAGACAATTTTTCCTGGGAGGCTTATTGTTATTTCTTAAACAGGGGTCAGCTTCTTAGGTGAGGGGGAGTTGAGGCTTTTGTAACTGGTAGTTTGAATGTAGAATGTTTGAGTTCTCCAAGCACAGCAGGTTTTTTTTTTTAATGTTTTGTAAACAAGATATTCTTTGTGTTGAGAAACAGGAGATTTCGTCACAAAACGAATTTTTCTTACCTTTCTTATTCATTAGTCTGATAACAGGAAAAATAGAGAGAACGCTTTCTAGTATAAGCATAATTTTTATTTTTAAAGCTAGTTCCATTTTTTTTTTCAAACTCTGATGAAAGCTTGCTAGTTAAAAATATGAGCCATACTAGTAACGTAACTGCCTTTGATAAATATGAGCCATACGAGTAAGGCAACTGCCTTTGTAAACGATTCAAGAAAGGAACTTTTGAAGTTTGGAGAAAGCCTTTTATTTTGTTGCACATGCAATGTTCCTGTTGATTTTCTCACGAAAGAAATAACTGCAATAAATACTTGAAAAGTAAGATTCACCAAAAGAAGATTGCTGGTGAACCGAGAATAATTAAAGCAAGTATTACTTCCTTATTCGGAAAGGGAAAAAAAACTAACATTTATGAAGTATATAAGCTAATAAATATTTATAAAACATTTTTTAAAAGAAATAAAAGCTGTGATAGCCTTATTACGATAACTGTTTACCCATTCGTTAAATGCTTTTTCTTTCTGGATTGACTCCTTTAAAAAAAATCTATACCATTACAATTAAAGAGCTTAACGCAAGAACTTGGTAAGTGAAATTTTTAGGGGAATTAATGAATCAGAAAAAAAAAGTGGTTGAATCAATATGGCTTTGTTTAACAGAACTGTTTTTGCCATCAATTTAATCGTAACATAAATAATCCACATCAATTTCATACTTTCAAACTATGTATACTTGATATATAAAATTAGTCAGTGGTAAATAAAATAAAGCAATTAATCATTAATAAATAAATTGGTAAAAAATAAATTCTTCTAATAAATTGGTAAAAAAATAGTTCGGATGCAACTTTTTTCCGTTCTGAAAAAGCCACTTACCTGATTTTTCCACTAAGTCTTTCAATTAAGCTAAAATAATTTAATTTTTATTATTTAATATTATTAGTTGCCCTTTTCGGGTGGCTTTACGTTATTTAAATAAACCAGGGCTCGAAAAAACTCAGAAATTTTACCCGTCCCAGAGGACGGCTTGTTCAACAACGTACCCATCCTCCTTTGAAACTAACACGTAGCTTCTAAATAAATAAAAATATAATTTTCTCTTATTTATTACTAACATTTATATAGATTGCACAATGAATTCGTAGTTACAAGGATTACAAATACTAGGATTGGATTACATTATACAGTATTAAATGAAATACTAAGTTACTAATAGTAACTCCTGCATTAGAGGGGGTCATTTGGTGGACACTTTAATGATTTTTTATGTTTTTTTTGGTTCACAAGAGAATTTTGGTATTAATTTTAAGTCATTGCATAGGTGTCAAAATTTCTAAAAATATATACATATGATGAAATCTATTTTTTAAACATCTTTAAAAATCTTTTAATATTGGCCGTGACACCCTAGATTATTTGCACAGATGTCGCTCAAATCGATAGCGACGCAAATATGATCTGAAAAGTGTTAAGAATATTCTTTTTGGTCTACTCTTTAAGCACACTATTGTTCATGTCAGTTATAGACATTGTTTTCCTTTGCTATCGAATTAATACTAAATCCTGCATTTGATGGGGTCATTTGGTGGACACTTTAATGATTTTTTTATATTTTTTTGGCTCGCAAGAGAACTTTGGTATTAATTTTAGGTTATTGCATAGGTGTCAAAATTTCTAAAAATATATACATATGATGAAAAATATTTATTAAACTTTTTCAAAAAATTCTTTATTTTGTGCGTGTCATCATAAATTATTAGCACAAGTGTCGCTCAAATCGATACTGACGCAAGTATGATCTGAGAAGGGTTAGGAGTATTCTTTTTGGCCTACTTTTTAAGTACACTATTGTCTATTTCAGTTACAGACATTGTTCTCCTTTGCTATCGAATTAATACTAACTCCTGCATTTGAGGGGGTCATTTGGTGGACACTTTAATGATTTTTTATGTTTTTTTGGTTCACAAGAGAACTTTGGTATTAATTTTAGGTTATTGCTTAGGTGTCGAAATTTCTAAAAATATATAAATATGATGAAAAATATTTATTAAAAATTGTTAAAAAAATTTCTATTTTGTCCGTGTCACCCTTCTAGAACGATTTGTCGTATAATGTTCTAATGTAGACAGTGACCTTCCTCGTATTTTGAAATGTGAAAACTTTAAAAGTCTAAAAAGACACAACCCCACAGACACACATCCACAGATATTCATCTTTATATATGTAAATTATATTCATTGAACGTGAAAATTGGATCATTAAGCGAAAAGTTCGTCAGGATGTTTTTTTTATTTTTTAAATGCGCACTTTATTTAACATTCAAACGTCACAGAATTAATGACATTTCCAAGCATTTATTGAATAATTTTACAGTAAAGAAAACTTTACACCAAGTTCTTTTTATAAAATATTTTTTTTATAACCACATATTTGAAGTTATTCTACCCTGCAGGTCAGCGTGGTCTCGTCACATTGCAATCCTTCTGCACATTCAGCGGTGATGATCATGTTTGGAATGTCAGGTAAACAATCCTCTCCTTCACCTGAAAAAAAAACATTTTTTATTATTCGTTTAATTCGAATTTAAAATTATTTTATTATATGCCGCCACCTCTAATTCGTTAAAAGAATTATTCGTCAAAACAAATCGGTCGAAAGTTTTTGAGAAGATTAAATTTAATAAAAAAGCTTTTTTTTAATTACGATAATGTTTTTTGCTCATTTTATTTTTATGGTTGCACAATTGGGTACTTGCACTTCAAGAAGACCTCCCATACCCGCACATGTGACCTATGACGTCAGCTCCAGCTAATCTTTATAAGTTAAAAGTTGAACTACGTTTCTCTACATAAGTCAGAATGCTAATGAACGATAAGTTGATTAAATACAAAGCCCTATCCAACATCCAATTCGTTGAAATATAAATCTTCTTCTTCTACTTCTTTTACTTAACTTAAATTTATTATTTGTTTATGTAGTTTATTGTAACCGTGATATATTTTTGTTTTGTGTACCTGGCAACTTCGATGCATATTTAGTTTGTTTATGCTCCACATGCCTTCGGGCCTGGCTTTGTGTTAAGTCTCTGTGTAAATATATAGTGAAAGAACTGAAATCTTTGAGAAAGAATGTTTATGAAAGAATTTAGAATGTGTCACTTAAGAGAAGTGATACTTGATGGGCTTGGTTTACTTGAAATAGAATGGAGAGAACGGTTGCTAGGGAAAACAAATACCACGCTTCAATAGCCAATCAGGATCAAGATACCTACACTACGTCACTTGGTATCTCATAGGTAGCCAAAGGGTTGAATATTGTGCACCACTCGTATTTACTTTGCAAACCAACTGGCACGCAATGATCTGAAACTTTGGAGACACAGCCGGAGATGGAATCATTAACATAACATCTCAAGGCATTGATTCAGATGGGACACAGGTGTCCCATTAATGTATTTTTTTCTGACTCCCTAATTAAAAGTAAAAATATATTTTGATATTTTTTTAATTGTGAAAAAACAGTCTAATAGTTACTAAAAAAAAACCCGATAGATTATCGGAATTACGTTTGTAATAAAATTTGAAATCCAATTAAAGTAGCTCGAAATTTTTTTTTCCGTTCATATTCAAAAATGCATAAAAAATTGATTTTGTAAATTAAAGAAATTTCAATGATGAATAACTGTTTCCCTTCGATATAAATAAGTGTAAATTTGAAAATTTAATTGTTTGGAAGATTTTACCTCTAAAGCAGAAAAAGACAACGGTGTTTCATGCTGCCTTTCACAATGATAAATAATTAAAGTACTAAATATAAAATATTTTACTTATTTTGACCTAAAATAATACAAATTAATGAAAAATGTATAAAATATGCATTTATTAAAAATTTTGCGTCAAATGGTTAATAAAAATAGTTTTTATTTCATCTTTAATAGTTTTATTTTAATTTTTTAAGTTATCTATTTTGATTGTAATATTATTGAATTCGATAATTATTGCATTCTATAATGATCACGATATTTTCGAATTCAGTGTGTATTAGTATCATAAAATTATTTCGATGCTGTGTATATTGTGCACCAATGTGTACTGTAACCCAATGTGTATCTGTTGTTGGAGATCTGTGTAAACCATAATCCGGCGTTGTTCGAGCCGGTATATATTGTATACCAATGTGTAATGTAAACCAATGCGTATTGTAAACCAATGTGTTTAGCAATGTTTATCGGTGGTTTGTGTTCTGTTTAAACAAGAATACGGTGTTGTTCGAACGTGTTTGTGTTACTGAACCTTGCTATTCCATAAATACCTTAAATACTTAATGCCCATAATTATATGAAAGAAAGTACATATGAAATTAGACATTTCGAATCATTATAGAAAGGTGAAACACTTAAAAGTTTCTTACGTAAAATGTTGACGCAAGTGTCACAGCATTGACAGAAGCTTCCTTTCACCCGAATCTTTTGTCCGTTGCTCTCGTGACAGTCCGTGAGCTTTTCGCACTGCACTTTGTCGCAGTAATCGTCCGGACACAGCTTGGCCTGTGCCACAACCACAATGAGTGCGAAGACAACTACGAACTTGATCATGGTACCTTTGGAGAAAACCACTCTAAAAAGTAATTTGCATACGTCACAATAAAGGAGGAAGAGTCATATTTCATATGTTATTGACCACATTTTCACCTGTTAACAACGCAATTTTTCACGGTTTTTTTCTATAAATCGAACAAATTTCCTCCTGTTAACACCCAAGTCAAAATTTTTGATGGTTTTAGAATGATGGTTCAAAATAATCTTGATGGTAATCATCAATAATTCCATCATGAACCATTATATTTTTGATGGTAACCAACATAAGTAGCCATCAACCCATCTAGAGGAAAACATTGCCATCAGAGGGAAACATTGGCATCCAGAGGAAAATCGTCAAAACTAATTTACAATTCTCAGTTTTCACAAAATTTCTTTGTTTCATTTGACGCTATTTTCATTATGAAAATGACTAAAGGTCATAACCTAATTTAGCATCAGCGACGAATAACTGTCACAAACTTTGTAGAGGTAACATACTATTCATTAAAACAGTTTAATCAAATTATGGAGTACGTGATTTAAAATTATATAATTCTAGAGAGTGTGAAAAATTGTATAAATTTACAGTTAAAAGAACTCTATTTAGTTAATTATTTTAAAATAATAAATAATGATTATAAATTAGTTTTTTGGATAGAATTACCTTTAGATTAATATGTATTAAAACCATACTCAAAGCTTTTAGCTCAAATAGTTCTACAAATATGGCGAAATGTACAAGAAGTGAAATGAATATTAAGAGGTTCTGTCTTTTAGCCATTCAGGTATTGGAGCCCTATTTTCCAGTCGACGCCTATCTCTCGTTTCTCAGGGGATTGAGCGCTCACCTCCCAATGAGGCGAATCGGGTTCGAACACCGGTAATGACTGGTGGGTTCGGATTCAGCACCTGCCTTAAACCGAAAACAGTTCTGACGTAAAATGTCCTCAGTAGTGGACGGATCACGGATTAGAGTCCCCTTGCCGTCAGGCTAACCGAGAGAGGTTTTCGCGGGTTTCCTCTCCATGTAAAGCAAATGAGGGTTAGCTCCATGAATAAGTCCTCCACGAAGGTAAATTTCTCCAAATACTTGATCCAGGAGTTTCCTTGTTTACTGGATTGGGTTCAAAATTATAAGGATACGGAGTTGAAAACTGGTAGTAGTAAACTAAAAATTCAGTCGGCTGTTCAACGACGGTTACAAAGTTTCTCTAGGTCGAAAATCCTAACCCGCCAATAAAATAAATATACTTGTTTAGAGAAAATATGCTTTTACTTTTGATTTCGTCATTTAAAATATCATCTGAATTAATTAGCTTATTTAAAATCTGTCTTTTAATATTCACACGCAAAAATTAGATCATTAGTTTTAAAGTTACTACACTCAAAATGTTTTGTTATTTTAACTTGCTCATAGTTTATATTCTAGGTAAATAAAGGCTAAAGATTTAACTATAAATAAATTGTTTAAAATTTTAAACGAGATGAAAAGCATTAAAATTACATTCGTTAAAGGAACCAACAAACAATTTAGATGATTAATTACAGAACTTATCTACCAGGCAAAAGCATAATTTCAATCTTACTATAGCAACATTTTCAATTGTGTTAATATTGCTATATTATTCAGAAAATTTCTAAAAAGAAATGATGCCTAAAATCTTTGTCTTTTATTTGAAAAAAAAAAATAAATAAAAATAAAGTGTAAGATTTAGAAACCTAAAGCGAAATGATTAATATCTAAATTTATGTGAGATTCTGGGTACAATTTCGGAATTAATGGAATATTTGGAATGGAATTATTTGCGAAATGGAATTAATTGATGAATAATTTTAAAAAGTACCTTTCTTTCGTGACTTACTAAGGAACTACTTTCAGGTCTGATTTTAAAATAAAAAAAATTTAAAAAGAGACAAAGAATACGATATTAACTAAAAGTGTTGATAAAATTTATAATAATCTTAGAATTATGTTGCGAATTTATCACGAATAAATAATTTCTATGATGCATTTTTTGAATTGCCTCTAAAAATATACGGTAGACACTGATAATGTTTGTTAAATATATCTAAATAATGAATGTATTAATTACATGCATATTTCTTTCCTCAAAACATATCGGATGAAACGAGTATTATTATAGCTTAAAGTTACGTAAAAAATATGAGAAAATTTATCGGTAAAAATATATATGCATCATAGATTTGGATTTTTTAATCTGTTTTGATATCCTCTAGTTGTCGGGCTAACCAGGATAATGTTTTTCTTTCTTTCTAATGCTAGTGCATATTAGTTCCATCAAAAAGTCCTTCGTGATGTTCTAATTCTTGATTTAGGAGTTATCTTGTGTTCTGGGTTAGGCTCAAAAATACAAGGCCACTGAGACGAACATTAATAGCAGCAAGCGAAAAACTGGGGTGGTTATTCAATGCTGGTAATTATATAAGACAAAATCTGCCTACATTACATTAATTATTAATTTATAAATTATCGGATATTTTTAACTCCAATATCAAATTTTTTTATAAACTGTTAGAACTACTTTTGTACAGTTTTATATCATAAGAAGAGAAGTTTGAAAACCTATTCCAAATAAATTGTTGCTCAAATTAAACGCATGAAAATTTCTTAAAAAAATCTAAGGTTAATTCTATAAATAATCGATTGTTAGAGTAATCGGAATACAACGAAATCATCTCAAAATGTAGCCTTCTTAATACGTTTAATGAAAAAAATTTACTTACGAAGAAATGCTGCGATGAATAAATTTCAATCAGCAAAAAAGTTGACAATTTATGCTTGATGAACTACTCGAAAATTCTATATCTTCAGAGATAAGAGTTGTTATTCTTTTTTAAATCCCAAACAGCTGTTTTACAAATTAATTGAACTTTGAATGCAATTGATAACACATGTCACATTCAATTATCACTTTATTAAATGCAGAAGTAAGAAATTGACATTGAAAAAGTAATGATTTAAGGAGTTTGCTGTTGTCTAGGTCTATTATCTTAGATATTTGTGGGCTGATTTTAATGTGATTATTTAACAAATTTTTTAATTAAATTCACAATCTTAAAAGTCAAAAATGATTAAATAAAAAAAAAATTTAAAAATTTCCTTTTTTTCCCCACGTAAAATAAGAAAAAATAGAAAATTCCAGTTTCGTCACACCTCAAATAAAAAATTTAATTCATTATTTTCGTAATAAAATTTAATTAACAACGAAAATTTACTAACTATGTACCTTCAAAAGTGATAAGCTCTACGTTTTTTTTTTTTTTCGCTTTCAAAAAATATAATTATTTTCTACTCTTTAGTTCATTTAAAAAACGCAGTTTTTAAAAAATATGTAATTTTACTATTAATTATTTTTTTTTCTGTATATTTTAAAGGTGCTCGTTAATTCTACAAAATAGTGTTATAACTATTATGTAAATATATTTTTTTTATATTTATGTTTTCTAAATGAATATTGGCAGGATTTTCTTCTTGCCATCTTGAAGTAATCTTGCCATAATTTGCTTTCATTTTGATACTTTGAGAAATATTTTTTGAAACTTCATGGTTTATTTGATTTAACTTTTTTCTATAGTTTAAATTTAAAGTTAATTTAAAGTAAAGTTGTTGGAAAAACAGAATTTACTATAAAGATTTTAGTGTCCTATTAAGTCAAAATCTCACTTCAAAATAAATATAAACAAAATTCAACATATTTAAAAAAAAAAAAATCAAATTTTTGTTATTTTTTTTTCATTTCTAAGAATGACTGATGAATGTTTTGTATGAAACTGGACACTAGATGGCGCAGAAATCGTTTTTCCTCCTGAAGAATTGAGAGAGTTAAAAAGAGAATGGTGGTTATGGTTTTAAAGTATTGTGTCTGCTAATATTGTTTTCTGTCTGTGTTGTGCATCTGTAGCATTATGATTATTAATAAATAATTTTTAAGATGCTAGTTGATTGTAATTGTGCCAAGAATTCATACGTCTTTACAGTTTCATTTCATGACGCCTGTACTTAAGGAGTACACTTGTCAACGAGAGTTTGATTAAAAGTACTTAAAGAAAAAGACATACAACAATTATTCTTTTCTAATTTTGGGTATGGGCGTTTCCCTACTTTCCGAGCCAACTATTCCAAAATAGAAAGAAAAGTAATTTTTTTTTTGTAAATAGAAATTACGCGTTAATTAGAAAATAAAGAAAACATATTTTATTCGTAGATTCAAGGGGTTTTAATAAATTAACGGAAGAATTTCCTTTTCTCGTCATTCAACGCAAGGTAAAAGACGCAATAGCTGCTTACACTGTAACAGAGACACTAAGGCTTGAAATAAATCGATGCGGCTGTGCTAAAACATGCCAAGAATTTTTAAGATAAGATTTGTGATAACCTACTACTTAGAGGTTAAAACCGTAGTGAGATTTTGCAATGCCCCTCGGAAAGTTACTCCTTTTATTTTTGTAAAAATATGATTTTTTTTTTCAGTAACGCCTAATTATTCATGGTAATATTATAAATATAACCGTCGTTGAACCAATTTTGGTTTTACGGCAACTAATGTTCAACCCCGTAGCCTTGTAATTTTGAACCCAATCCAGAAGACAAGGGAAGTTCTGGATCAAGTATTAGAAAAAATTTGCCTTCGTGGAGGACTTTTTGATGGAACTAACCCGCATTTGCGTTACATGTAGAGGAAAACCTCTTACGGTTAGTCTGACAGCAAGGGGACTCGGACCCATGATCCGTCTACCACTGAGGATATTTTATGTCAGCACTGTTGACGGTGCAAGCTGGATGCGGAATTCGTATCGACCAGAAATAGCTGGGATTCGAACACTGTTCACCTCATTGGAAGGCGAACGCTCTATCCTCTAAACCACCAGGGCTCCTATTCATGGTAATAGGTACTACTGATATTTTAGTAAATGATTCTTCTTTAATTAATTAAACATTGCGGCGTCAATATGAGTTTAGCAATTTTCCCGACTTTTCATCATAAAACGCATAAAATAATAGTGTTATTACTATTGCGAAAAACTTTTCGTTTAAAATTTTTATGTCAGCAATAGTTTTAACACGTGACTTAAATGAACAGTTAATTAAGAACGTTTGTAAAATTTGTGGCCAGTATGTATTTTTTTAAAAAATAAATAAAATCAATTAAAAGAAAATTAAATGTATCAACCCTAAATATTATAAGTGCTTATTGGATTGTTGGCGATTGTTCAGCGCGCGTCTAAGTTTCAACTTAAAGAAATTTTAAAACCAATAGACGCGTAATCTTTAAATCTTTACCACGCGCATGTTAATAGAACTATAATTAACGATTTTCAATAATTATAAAAGTCATTAAATACGGAAATCATAATTGATATTGTCTTGGTGTTTATTGGGCCTGCTGTTTATTGAGTCCTGAATTGTAAAGAACCAAAATAATATTATGTGTCTAAATTTATACTCTCAAAATTTCTACTAGAACGAGTTAAAATATTTGGAATCATTTTACCGATTTTATGTAAAGTCAGCAAAGATAATTTTACACTGTATATAATGCAAGGTAGAAAATGTCAATTAGTTTAAAGTAGTAAGTATTTTAGTACAAAAGCATTTTTGTTTATTTATTTAAGAGGGATATTTGTAATAATTTCAAGTCAGACAAGATCAAATCCACAGCGTGAACAAAACAGTTTCCTTATTGTGTTACTAGAGAGCGCTGCATAAGCAGAAAGAGAGCGCTGCGTAGCAGAAAAGAAACTGAAAAAATTGGTTTTTAATTGCAGCGCATGCAAAAAAAGAAATTTTTTATTATTTTTTTTAATTTTTTTTTTTTTACAAAACTAAACACGAGGAAAGAGTTCAACTCAGTATTGGTTAGGCGTTAAGTCAATCGTTTTCATTTATTATTTTTTTATGGAATTTATGAAGTTTGCAAAAATTGTTTGAATATTTGTTTGAACTTAATTTTAGAAAAAGTTTGGAGGTTTTTTCTTTAAGAATGTAGAGAGTTGAGAAGAAAAAATTAATTTTGTCCTAGCTCCTGAAGTCAGTATCAATTCGCGATCGCAACGCTCGAGTACGCCCTCTAGCTGGAGCCTGTAAATATCAGACATTAATTTATCACGTTTTCATTTAGTTCCATCAAAATCATTGGCAGAATCAGATGCCATTTTCTTAGCAGCAAATAAAAATAAAAATTTCCATAAGGAAAAGCCAAAGAATTTGAAAAAACTCTCCAGAATATTGTGATATCTTTCAAACCCAGAACACGCCGAACATTTGAAGAAAAATTTCGCAATAATTTTTAACTTATATTATCAACAAACTTGCAACTCATAACTTCCGATTTCGCTATCGCATACTGTTACAGATGTGTGTATTAAGGTAAAATGCATTTCTTCTGTCTTCAATTCATTACAAATTAAAGTGAAGTCAACATTGCTTTCGTCATTCCAATAAATAAATGTGAATTCAGAAAGTACAGAACTGTAATAGTTATAGAATATTCTTCTTCGTTATAGAATAGTATATATTTCTGTATCCATATAATTCGGAAAACAACAATAAAAAATTATCCAAATTATTTGAAATAGTGCCATTTGTGCTGATTCTTAATTAATTTTTATCGTTTTCTTGGTAAGTACTTTTTAGTTTTGAAAGAATAATTTCAACTAGAATTCAGCTATTCTGTTTTTAGCTGCATATTCAAATTCATACCAAGATCTTACAATTATAAAATTTTGCTGTGTAGTATGTTAAAAGTAATGAAGGGATAAACTATGTATCTATTATTTGAGAATAAAGTTCTCAAACAAAGAACATAACATTTTGGAATTTTCTGGAGTTATGAATCAGGTAAGTGTTATGATTTTTACAATAAACAATTTGCTTGTAAATATTTTTTTTTCTCATTTGATGATCGTTCTCTACATAATGGTTTTTTACGTCTGATTAAGAACTACAAGAATAAAAAAAAAGAAATATGAAAGTTTTTATGAAGAATTTTTAAAATCGTTTTTTATAACAAGAATTCTTTATTTTACGTTTTTTAGTTTATAAATTTTTGATGAAAATTGTTGACAAAATACTTTTGCTTGAAAAATTAAATGGTATAACATTATGTGTTTATGCATACTTCTTGCATATTCTAATGTTTGAAGTAATATGATTTAAAAAAGTATGGAATAAAAAATTCGGTACTTACGTAATAACGCCACTTGGCGGCTTTTAAGTGCCACCAATCTACACCAAAATTTTTGCGACAAACCATAAAATAAAACACTTTATTTAAAATCAAAGTAAAATCTCTTTCACCTGCGTAAGTAATTTAAAATTAAAGGCATCAAAGAAAGGCATCAAAGTGAGTTTAGGTTAGACCTAGAGTAAGACATGAAGTTTTAAGTGCTGAAAAATCATTTTCAAAATATCAAAATCTAAAGAAATTATGGCAGGATTTCTCAGGATAAAGCAATGGAGAAGTAATCCTGTAATATTTTGGTTTTCTATGTTGATATTTTGAAAACTTTTTTTCAGAATTTAAACCTTCACTACTCTACGCTTAAGGCCGGCGGAGTGGTTAGCGGCCAGACTGTGGGCTCGAATCCTGATATCGGAATGAATGTTTCTCTCTGTGCGTTGTCTTCTATTGTGTATGAAAATTGAGCCGTGATGGTTAAGGGGACAGAGCTTTCTCCTTCCAATGAGATGAACCGGTTCGAATCCAGCGATGGCTGGTAGATACGAATTCCGCATCCGGCTTGCACAGATCACAGTGCTGACGTAAAATATCCTCAGCAGTGGACGAATCATGGGTTAGAGTTCCCTTGCCGTCAGATTAACCGTGGGAGGTTCTCGTGGTTCGGTTTAATTTTTAGGGTATAATTTATCATTTGTA